GCCGGCACTTATGCTACTGAGCTAAATCCCCGGTTCCCTCCTGTTATCTTGAGACATTAGTTGTTAGACCCTCTCCAGGGAACCAACTATTTCCAGACTCTAGGAAAAGACCCACGGGTCTTTCTACTAGCCACTGTTGTGAACCCAGTTAATTGTAGCTGTCTTCTTTGTATTGCTCTTTAAAAATAACAAACTCAGGAAAACAAAATGTGCCTAGAAAAGAGCTGTGCCAAGCAGGTCAGATTTCTGTACTTGCCATACACTTACCTGTCCATAGCAGAAGCACATTGCTATAGCTCTCTGTGTGAAATAAAATAATTCCAGAAAGCATAGTGTAGTGATTATTCATCATGCATTTCTTAAACATCTACACATAGAAGTTTTGCCATGGATCTTCTGTTAAAAAGATTTCTGAGGGGCTGGAGATTTAGCTCAGTGGCATAAGCACCTGCCTTGCAAGCAGGCGGTTGTGAGTTCGATCCCCAGTACCAGAAAAAAGAGAGAAAAAAAAAAGATTTCTGAGATAAGTAAGCACCAGAGGACCAAAGTGTCAAAGGAGAAGTCGGGCTAAGAATCATAGAAGTAGCAGGTACCTTAAGGATTCCCACTTTCCATGGTTTTTCATTTTGGGTTCAAGAGTCCTATGGTTGCTTGCTACATGGGAAGGGCCTGGAGAAGGCCATGACCTGAATCTATTTAGTTCCATTTAACCACAACCAGCTAGCTCCTTGTTTACATACTGAGCTTTCTATTATGATTTCAGTTGGGAAAACCATTGGTCTTAGTCCACTGCCTTCATTTTATAGAGAAGAAAACTAAAACCCAGCGATAAGTTTAAGTGATACACTTAATATTACACAGCTGGTCATGACAACTAAGATTAGAATTCAGGCTTCTGACTCTTAATACAGCTCTGTTTCCATAACAACAGACTATAATTCTAATCTGAGCTACACAGACTCACCTTGTTACTTAAGGGAATTCTTTCACTTGGACTGTTTCCATATCTGAAAGGAATACTAATATAGGCAACACCCTAAATGAATGCTAGTGCAGACCATAGAGAGGGAAGATTTAATCAAAGAAATAACTAAGGCTTACCTTGCTTTGAACCTTGACTCATGATATGTCCTGTGGTGCTATCTTCAGACCTTTGCCTTCAAAGAGTGCTTCCGAGCATTCCTTCATTCCTTTAAGGAGAGAGTATATTGAGCTCGATGAGCTTTCTGATCACAATCTTCCTAATAGTTACTCTGACTGATCAGGCACGTAGAGCTGGAACCTCCTTGGTTAAAAAGGAGCACACTGATTTTGTAACCCTGGTAGCCAAATGCAGAATATGCCTGTTTGCTTGGTTTTCAGGATAGCTTGGGCACTGTTGAACGGACTCAGGATTCTGAAGGCTCCTTCAAACTAGAAGATCCCACAGAAGTAACTCCAGGATTGAGCTTCTTCAACCCTGTATGTGCTACTCCCAATAGCAAGGTATGGGAGCTAAAAGGCAGATACTAGAAACCTATGTTAGCATCCTTCTCTGCATTAACTATGACAGAGCCTGGTGAGAGAAAAGTATAATCAACTTGCCAAGAACTGGGAATAGACTAGAGTGAGGTTTTTCTTTTCTTTTCTTTTCTTTTCTTTTTTTTTTTTTTTTTTTTTTTGGTTTGGTTTGGTTTGGTTTTTTGTAATACTGGGGATAGAACCCAGGACCTCATACAGGAAAGGCACTGAGCTGTACCCCCAGGCCTTTTTAAAGTTTCATTTTGAAACATAATTTCACTGAGTTCCCAGGTTGACCTCAAATTTGGCAGCCCTCCTGCCTCAGCCTCCTAAATAGCTAGAATTATAGATATGCATCACTATACCCAGCTAGAGTGCTTTTCTTAATACAGCAATCTTAGGAACACCTCATACTACTGAGATTAAATTGAGCATTTGTAGTGACTCAGCTGGGCTGAGGTCTGCCCCTATCCGGAGTCTATTCATATCTGTCTCTGTCCTTTCTAGATTCTGAAAGAGATGTGTGATGTAGACCAGATGCTATCACAGAAGAATGCTCCAGCTCTCTCTTCCTTTGACCTAGCAGAATTTAAACATTCTGCAACAGAATCCCAAGAAAATAAGGCTCCAGGGAAGAAAAAGAAACGGGCTCTGGCCAGCAATACCAGCTTCTTCTCTGGCTGCCCCCCTATCGAAGAAGAGCCCCACTGAGTTGGAGTCATCATCTGGACCTCTAGTCTGCCTTGGGAGTCACAGTCAGGTTGCAGCCAGAAGGGGTTTTTAATGACTACTCTGGATTTCAGGTGTCCCACTGTTGAAGGGACAGAATGCTATTAAAAGGAAAGAAACCTTTTTTGAATGTTGGCCCTCTGTCTTCTGGCCCTTGTCCCAGACTCCTTTTACTCTTTCTTCTCCAGAAGATGCTAAACCTACTGAAGAGAGAACCAACTCACCTTCCCTAGTGACTCATCAGCAACCAGTCCCCAGTAGGATCTAGCACTTTCTTGCTGTGAGCAGTTGTATGATTCCTGACGGATAATAGGCTGAGACTTTCCTCTGTGTCATCTCAGCTTACAGAGGAACCTGGTCCAGAATGGAAGCCTGGCTCCAATCCTTCACCTCTCAGGAATGGGGCTGGGTCCTGAATTGACTCTGGATTTTAAGTCTTTTAACAGGACCTTCATTTGTCTACCATATTAGTAAAATAAATGAAATATTTTAAAATGTTAAATAAATAAAGTTTAACCTGTGTACTGATTGGGAAGATCCTTCTGCACTAGAGAAGAAATAAAACTTTAACTTGTGTTCATAAGACTCTAAGAAAGCTATTGTGAAGATTCATCAAAGTTCCTGACCCTTCCTGCCTTGTTTGGAAAAGTTGCTTTGAGGATGGAAGCATGGGCCTTGTGTGTGTCAATAAGCAACATGCTCTACCATTGAGCTCCATCCCCAGCATACCCTACTGTTTCCCAGAGGATAGTGGAGAGCATAATATTGTGTTTATGTTACTTTGGCTGCTCTAGGAAATTGGAACAATGCTTGAAAAGGGAGTGGCTTGACTACTTTAGAACCTGTATGGCCTCCAGATTTGGGAGTAAGAAACACATCAATGTTCCTGCTATAATTTTCTTATCTCTCACCAAAAAAAAAATGCTCAGGATAGGCAGGTCCTTGTTTTGCAAGTTAGGAAACAGAATGTGTCAGCTTCACATCTCTATACCTGAAATAAACTTACAAAGATAATAATTGATTTTAATGCACAGTTTTGGAGGTACCAGTGCATGTTCCTCCCTTGGCTGTATTGCTTTCAAATCTACAGAGCGAGGCAGCATATCACAACAAAAGAAAGTGCAAGAGAAAAGCTGCTCATTTCATGCCTAAGATGCAAGGAAGAGGAAGGGGCTGGGGGGTTCACTGCCCCCTGGCAAGGGTGCACCCTCAATGAAGTGACCTTCCACTAGGCTCCACCTCTTAAGGATTCCACAGCCTCTTGAATAGTACATTAAGCCTTTTAAATATATGGGCCTTTGGGGGACATTTAAGGATCCAAGGCATAACACTGAATTACAAAGAAGTTAGATAATTTGTCTAGTCACAAAGTTAGTAACAGCTAAGGCTTGAATGCAGGTCTCATGTGTCTAAAGCCCTTCTGCCTGCTTTGTAGACATGGAATGGGCATGGGACCACACTACTGTTCAGTTGCAGGGCAGAGTAGCATTGGCTCCTTGCTGTCTCCTTTGGAAGGGGAAGAAGAGGCAGGGATTACTCCTTGCTGTACATCAGGCCCTCTGTATGCTGGAAGCTAGAAGGGAGTCAGCCCTGGAATGACACACACAGGCTGCCAAATGCACATGTAGCCTTCTGAGAGTTCCCAAGCCCCAGGAGTGATATCTATGCATAATAAATCCCAGCCCTTTTTCCCTACAATACTTTCAAAACTGGCCCCAAGAACTGGAAAGCCAAGACTAGAATCTAACTCAGACCAAGCAAAGGAAACTGAACTGCAACCTACTTAGAATAAAGCTGACAGAGGCCTGGGTGACCTGCTGGCCCTCCTTGGCCTCCTGCCAACAAGCAACCCTGCTTTTCTTTGCATTTTAATTCCAACGGAGCCTCTGGTTGCCAGCCAGAGCCTTCTGATACAATGGAAAGGCTGAGAGGGAAGGGGGAGGTCTCTTGGCAGAAGAGAGCCAGTCTTCCTTTTCACTGTTGGAAATCCAGTGCAGGAGTGGGGGTGGGGGGACTGAACCCAGGGGAGGATATCCTTTCCCACCAACTCCCTGCTAGCCTCTAGATCTAAGTCACTGTGTCAAATTCAGAATGGGACTCCTGTCAAGCCAGCCCCTAGCCCACACCACCTGCTGTGCCTTCCCCTAACTGACCACAGCTTGCTAGACTGCCCTCTTCCCTCACACTACAGTAACAGCATCTTTTCTATATGTTTATCTACCCTAACGTAATACACTCCTCAAAGGATTCTGAGAAGAAACTAAAGATGTTCTGGGAACAAAGTGACAATGATGCAGGTCTCAATATCTTGTATGAACATCTCTTGTGTCTAGTAATGAGGGAAGGGGAGGACTGCTAAGTATCGCCTGAGATCCATGAGGTCTATGGAGACCTCTGGCCCAGAAATGGGGCAACCTGCTCAGAGTTCAGGAAGTAGCTTTACAACTACATCTCATAGATGCACCTTGCAGGAGCCCAGGAGAAAAAGGGAGGCTAATAAATTGAGGCTATAGTCCCGCAACCTGAAAATTAGACATTGGACTTCCTCCCTCACATGTAAGCCTTTCCAGGGGGCTGGCAAGGCCCCTTTTTACTGTCAACTTGTAGATCACCTCCCCCAACTTCTCATCCACCCCCTATGCCCTCAGCCCTGCCTCCCAGAGCAGCACAAAGCCCCAGCAGTGACTGGGAGCGGAATAAAGGAGGGACAGAGGGACGGCAAAGGCTTGCACAAAGGAATTCCTCACCCTCAAGTTCCCTGACCACCAATGAGTAAAGATCTGCTCTCCCTCCCACTGTGGCTGGCCCAGGGCATAGAGCAGCTGCAGGCCTTCAGAGAGGTCCCACACATTGTCCTGTAGGTGGCAATAGTGCCACCTGTTTGACTGGTGGGGCTGAGCCAAGGACTGGAAGAGGGAGGAGGCAGACTACTTGGAGAGAAGCTGTAAAGGAGTACAGACCAGAAAGCAGAGCAGAGCAAAGAACAGAGCTGCGGCTGAGCAAAGGTGTGAGGGCTTGGAGGCGGAGGGCTACAGGCGGGAGTGTGTGTGTGTGTGTGTGTGTGTGTGTGTGTGTGTGTGGCGGGGGGGACAGGCTCTGTCCTGCAGGGAGGAAGGGGTCAGGCCCAGGGCTTGAGCAGCACCCCTGTCAGATCCCCTGCTTGGGATTTCCAAGCTGTTCAGACTCAGCCAGCTCCTGGAGGGAGGTGGGACTCTGGAAGGCAGTCTGGGGTGCAGGGATAGGACCCCAAAGGAGACTGAGGTATGAACTGGGGTTCAGAACAGGATACTGCACCCCAGCCTCAGAACAGGTAGAGACAGGGGCCTGCCTTTGGCTTGACTCTCTTCTGGGAAGGGACTCAGGGATCGGGGAGAAGTTTCCTTTCCCCACTCCAATCCCTACTCCTCCACTCTATACCCCAACCCTCCTTTTCCAAGGGAGGATTTCAGGAGCAGTTGCTGCCTTCCTCTTTGTGGAAGCCCAGCAACTGTGTACTCCCTGAGACTGCGCAGCCTCTAGGGTAATGAGTGCTCCTGTCTCTTACACCACACACACACACACTTTGGGTGTATTGAGGGGCTTCTTTATATAGTGTCATCTAGAAACCCATTTGTACTGACAGCCACTAGTGCACACATAGATAACATATACTGACACAAATCACACACTACGCATACAGAGTCACAATCACACACCCACCCAACGTGGAGGTCAGTTTGGTCTCACCCACAGCCAGACACATAAGGCACAGGGATCTCTGGCTCCAGGATAAGCGTGCCCTCATACACATGCACCTTTGTCCTGTGTGTGTAATACTTTCACCAAAGCTAGCTCAGAGTGTGGGGCCCCTGCAGGGTGAAAGGCAAGGACTGGTTTCTGATTGGGGTGGGGGATGATTGGATGGGGCAAGACGAGACTTTGATTTCCCAGATGTGTGTTTTTAGAGAAAAGTTTCCTTTAGAAGGCTAGAGATCACTTCTTCAAGTCTTTCTTTTATTAGCAATATCCTCTACTCTATAGAAAGTAGACATAGAGAATCTTTTAGTTAGGGCCTCCTGATTTGTATAATCTCTGTATCCATAGTAACTAGCAAACTAACTAGGCCTCCCTTTACCTCAGGTCAGAGCAGAAATCTCTGCTTCAGGTTATTCCGACTTCCTGGGGTGGAAGGTAACTCAGCATGGGGCCACCTCAGGCTAGGCAAAATCTGCCTCAACTTGCTGAACTGTTTGCCCCACCCTGGGCAGTTCCTCTTGAGTCTCCACCCTGGGCAAGTACTCCATTCCCATAGATGTTGTTAAATAAGGAGGAGCTGGAGAGAGTGGGTATGCATTCTGCCTGCATGTCCCACTGACTTTCCAGGTACTAAGAAAAACCCCAGGCACTGCCCCACTTTGTCAGGCTTAGAACCAGGCCCTTTTGCTTCACCCAATCCAGCACTCAGCCTGGCCCTCCCAGTGCCCTTCCTCTGCTACTGAGCATTGACCCCAGGCCTCTGCCTTTCCCTTCAGCTCCTCACATACACTGGGAGGGAGGCGGGGATTTTCCCTCTGCCATGGTCCCTAGAGGATGGCTAAGTGTCTTTTCTCCTAGGCCTCACCATGGCTGAGTACCCCGATTGCTGCTTCACCTGGGCTCGCTGCCTCTACGGTCTGTATAGCTGCCACTGGAGGAACTGCCCAAAAGGGAAGATGCCAACCAGCAAGGTAGAATAAGGATGGATGGGGAGGTTGGAAGTCAGAAGACAGAATGACTGGAGTGGGGAAAAGGGGCAATTATGCTCATGGACAGCTGGGAGGAAGGGATTTCCTCTCCTCAGAGGAAAATCTGTCTTATATAGAAAAAGCGGTGGGAGCAGACAGGGTCAGGGAAGGAGTCACCCTTGCACTGCCATCCTTTGGGATGTGGCATGAAAGGGGACTGGCTGTGAGCTTCTCTCCTGCTCATTTACAGTGCGACTGTGTCTGGCTTGGCCTGCTCTTCCTCACCTTCCTCCTCTCCCTGACCTGGTTGTACATCGGGCTCATTCTTCTCAATGACCTGCACAACTTCAATGAGTTTGTCATGGACCAACCCTCTTCCTCAGCATATTTGTCAACCTATGCCCCACCCTGTGCCCCCCGGTGCTCAGCCCCCACTATCAGCCCTTACCTAACCTCTCAAGTTCACTTATCCTGCTATCCAGCTTCCCTATAAAATCCCTCCATGAAATCTTCCCAACCCTTGGAGCCCGTGACCCAATGAAGTACTTTCCCCTCACTCCCATCTCATCTTCCTCTTGGAGTCACCCACCCCAACTCCCCTCAGGCCATTATTACGACCCCTTCCTCCATCTGGACATCTTCTCACCTCCCACAGATTCCTGTTCCGCCACTGGGGACACTGGATGGACTGGTCCCTAGCATTACTACTGGTCACCTCTCTACTTGTCACATATGCATCACTGCTATTGGTGGGTCCAGGGGTGGCTGGTCCAACCCCCATTTTACCCTTTTTTTCTCTTGTCTAACGCTTCTTGTTCCTGTTTTGGTCATTGAGGGAAGGGAGCTGCTTGTTGGGTGGGAGGGAAAAGAAGTGTCAGCCTGCAAAGTCCACCTCAATGATCTTGTCCTCCTCTTGGCACTTCCTGAGTCCCACCACCCCCTGCCCCCAGCTCCTGGCCCTGCTCCTGCATGTCTGTGGACAGCCGCTGCATCTCCACAGTCTCCACAAGGTAGGGTGGGGATGGCAATGAGTGTGAGAGGGGTGGCAGGGCCACACTCTTAGCTAGCCATTTGCTGATGACTAATCCCAGGGATTGAACCCCACACTTAAAACCCAGGAAATATTTGTTGAAAGAAGTGGATGTGTCTAGGAAAGAGAAAGATATTGTCTCAATAGAGGATGCCCAGGTAACCATGAGCTTAAGTTGACCAAAAGGGGCCCATTTATCCCTGCCCTCTCCCAGGTGCTACTGCTCCTTATTTTGCTTCTTGTGGCCACTGGCCTTGTGGGACTGGACATACAATGGCGGCAAGAGTGGGACAGCCTATGTCTGTCACTGCAGGTGGGTGGCCAATCTTTAGTGCCTAAGTAGGAGTCTTGGCCTGTGGCCAATCCCAGATTATATTTTGCTCCGTGGTCTTCCAAGACAGTGAGTAGCTTGGAAATTCCAAAGGTTGGGCCCCAAGAAGGGGAGGGACACTAGGAAGAAAAGCCCTCCTCACCAGCTCTTGTCCATAGGCCACCGCCCCAGTCCTTCACATTGGAGCAGTCGCTGGAATCACCCTCCTGGCCTGGCCTGTGGCTGATACCTTCTACCGCATCCACTCAAAAGGTACCAGCTCCACACTACTCTCAGTGATCATCCATGCTCCAGGCTCTCTCCACTCACCCAGTTTCCATCACCTGCAGCCTGCCTTCTACCCCTGGAGCACCTCCATTGCCCTTTCCCCAAGTACTGCCCCCTATTCCCTACAGGCCCCAAGATTCTGCTACTGTTCCTATTTTTCGGAGTCGTCCTTATCATCTACTTGGCCCCTCTATGCATCTCTTCACCCTGTATCATGGAATCCAGAGACTTACCTCCCAAGCCTAGGCTGATGGGACACCGAGGGGCCCCCATGGTGAGTGGTGGGTAGAATGCTGGGAGAGTGGGATGGGTTTGTTCTTTGGGCTGTAGCAGCCAGACTTGTGGATACTCAGACTCCTGCCCCTCCCTGCTACCTCCTCACCAATTCCCTTTCTCAGCTGGCCCCTGAGAACACACTGATGTCCCTGCGGAAAACGGCTGAATGTGGAGCTGCTGTGTTTGAGACTGATGTGATGGTCAGGTGAAGAGGGTGGGGCTGAGGGGATCTGAAGGACATAGTGGAGGAGCTCAGGAAACAATGGTCAGTCCCAGACATGGCCCTCTGACACACACTGTACCCTCAGCTCCGATGGGGTCCCCTTCCTCATGCATGATGAGCAGCTAACCAGAACCACGGATGTAGCCTCTGTGTTCCCATCCCGAATCACAGCCCACAGCAGTGACTTCTCCTGGACAGAACTGAAGAGACTCAATGCTGGGGCCTGGTTCCTAGAGGTGAGAATGGCATCAGGGAAAAGACAATCACCTGCAGGGACACTCAGAGAGGACGGAGTTCATTCCACTGATAAGCATTTGCTGAGCCCTGTGCTGGCCAGGAGGAGCAGTCTCTGCCTTCCAGCTACCCTAGCCGTGTCAAGAGGCAATCAGAATAGGAAACACAGAGCAATAAAAATACTTTTTCTGGGCAGAGCAGAGAGAGAAAAATCATTGCACTCTGCTCTTTGGCCACAGATGTGAGAGCAATCAGGTATAGGTTTGCACAGGAGGGGAAGCATAGCAGCCTGTGATACAAGTTTGCTCCTGAGATGGACAAATCAGGCCAAGTGTGATACTTGTAATGCCACTTATAATGTGACACTTATAATGCCAGAGCTGAGGCAGGAAGATTGCAAGTTTGAGACCTGCCTAGACAACTTAACTAGACTGTCTGTCAAAAATAAAAAATACTAGGTATGTAAGTCAGTGATAGAGTGCCCCTAGGTTCAATCTCCAGTACTGCAATCAATCAATGAATCGATCAATCAATCAGAAAGGACAAAGGAAGGACTGGGAATTCTTTTTGCAATGCTGGAGATGGAATCCAGGCCCTTGCACATGTTAGGCATAGAATTGTGCTGCTGAGCTACACCCCCAACCCAAAGAACAGGGAATTCTAGTCAGAAGGAAGAGCATGTATAAAAGCCAAGTATAAAAAATTATGTTTCTAGAGAACAAGAAGTGGTTCAATATAACTGGGAGATACAATTCATGGAAGTGGTGAAATGCAGAGACTTGGTATTAAAGGGCTTTGAAAGCCGGGTGTGGTGGCACATTCCTGTAATCCCAGCAACTTGGAAGGCTGAGGCAGGAGGATCACCATGAGTTCAAGGCTTACCTGGACTACATAGTGAGTTCAGTCTCAGCCTAAACTACATAGCAAGACCCTCTCTCAAAAAGGAAGAGGTGTGTCCTTGAATTCCAGACCCAGAAATGTGGATTTCAATCCTTTAGGTGGTGAAAAAAATATTTAAAAAGATACTTTATTTTCTCATTTCCTCTTTTGCTGATTACAAAAGTAATGTCTATTCTTCATTTTAAAAAATAAATAAGCAAGCCTTCCTTGCAAGTGTGCGGTCGTAAGTTCGATCCCTGGTACTGATAAAAACGAAAAAGACAAAAAAACATAATCAGAGAAATACAGTACAAATCAAAGTCTACCTTGTCTGAAATAATCATGGGTGGAGACCCATACATATTTATGTAAATTTATATATTTTATAGATAAATATATATGATATAGGCTTGTATATTAAATATATTTATAATATATATTTATTATTTTAAAATATACAATGTACTTATGAAAAATTAGAACTATGTATATATATATATATATATATATACACACATATATATACACATATATATACACTATTTTGCCTAAATAGGATCATGATACAGATTCTAGCAATATGCTTTTTAAAAAAATTTAACTGTAAACAGGCATGGTAGTACACATCTGGAATTCCAGCACACTGAGAGACTGAGGCAGGAGGATCACAAACCTGAACCCCATGTGGGCAATTTAGCAAGACCTTTCCTCAAAATGAAAACTAAAAATGCTGAGAAACTAGCTTAGTGTGAAGGCATTGGGTTTAAGCTCCAGTTAATCAACATAAAAATTTAGCTATATGCAATGGCATATCAGAATGATTAAGAGCTAATTGTCTTGCACATAGTAAATACTGCAGAAAGTACTCAATAATATTAGCTTCATCTCTGTCAGGGATCAGATGAGGTCATTCATTGATACAAAGACAAGAGCAGAAATGGCACAAGCATGGACTAACCACTAGGGGGAATGAGAGAGAGCAGATCAACAGCAGGTAAAAATTTTGTCAAGTGGCGCTAAACAAAAACAAAACTACAGTGCCAGCTATCCCCAAGGCACTGTTCAACCTTCAGTTCTAGGGGTCAATATGGCAGCTAGTGAATCAATGTTTGGGAGTTATAGGGCAGGTGGAACAGGAAGGGAGCTGGGAGCACCGTAGAAAAGTATTTCAAGTTATGAATACAGGTACAGCCAGAAAGGAGCTGATGACCTGGAAAGAGACCAAGGTTAGGATCCCATGAGATCGAAGACAAGGTGTAGTGGGAGCAAAAAAAGAAGCTAGAAAGATAGGAGATTGAGGTCACAGAGTAGGGTACAGTATTAGATGGCAGGAAAGAGAACCATTGTTTGGAGGAAGAAAGACCAGAATCAGGGATAGGCAGAAGCTAGATACCAAGTGAGGTATATAAGAGAAGATGGCAAAGATAGGGAGAACATCTGGCAGCCTCTTCTGATATTGAAATAATCTTCCTTTCTTATTAGAGGAAACCCTTCTGGGGAGCCAAGCAGCTGTCGGAGCCTGATCGGAAAGAAGCTGAGAATCAGACAGTACCAGCATTAGAAGAGCTATTGAAGGCAGCAGAAGCCCTCAACCTCTCTGTCATGTTTGACTTGCGCCGACCTCCACGAAACCACACATACTATGACACGTTTGTGAACCAGACACTGGAGACTGTGCTGAGTGCAAGGGTGCCCCAAGCCATGGTGATGTTTCCAGGGCTTCCAAGGGCCCCCTTTCGTCCTCCTTCCCACAATGTGTTTCAAAGCCTTGATGATTCTGAGGCTGCCTTTTGTACCAGTGCCACCTCTACCCCAACCCAGCTCACATACACCATTTTGTAGTCAAACCTCTCTGCCCCTGACCCTATCCTGAGAATCCCTTAGGTTTTCCTCATCTTCATACCTATCTTCCCTGAACCACAGATTCTTTGGCTACCAGATGAAGATAGGGCTAATGTCCAACAACGGGCACCCAAAATGCACCAGGTATATGGACAGCAGAGAGGCAACAGAACTGAGAAGCCCCAGTTTCTCAATCTCCCCTATCAAGATCTGCCATTGTTGGATATCAAGTAAGTGCCAGAGAAAGCAACTGAGGTGATCCCATGGCCTAGTGGCAGGGAAGAGCCAATGCTTGGAAGGTAAAGGGTATTCATTCACTTATATGACAAATATTTATTGAGCACTTGTGTATTAGGTGGTATATATTACAGGCTTTGAGGGTGCAAACATACATAAGGCATATAAGGAATTCCACTTTCATATAATGTATATACTAGTAAAAGAGCTAGACAGTAAACCACTTAAATGCATGCATATTGAGTAAAGTATTAAAAAAAAAACCAGGTAGATGTAGTAGTGATTGGAGTTCAGAGTGAGGGGCTGGTGCAGGGGGCAGGGCTACTACATTAAAAAGTATGCCTTAAGAGATGATGTCTGAGCTGAGACCTGATGGTTACAAGAAGTTATGAAAAGAACAGGGATAATAGCCAGTGAGCAAGGGAAAGGTGAAGTTAGAGAGGCAGGCAGGGGCCAAACTGGGCTGGGTTTTGTAGGCCATAAGGATTTTAGCTTTTATTCTACAGCAAAAAGATCAGAGTAGGTCTTGAAGCATAGCTCAGTGGTAAGGGATCTGCCTAGCATGCATGAGGCTCTTTGTTCTATCTCCCAACTCTTTTTAAAAACTTTTTAACGGTACTGGGGATTGAACTCACAACCGCCTGCTTGCAAGGCAGGTGCTTATGCTGCTGAGCTAAATCCCCAGCCCCATATCTCCCAACTCTTAAAGAAACAGAGGAATGAGAACAAGAGTGAGAGTGAGAGTGAGAGTGAGAGTGAGAGTGAGAGTGAGAGTGAGAGCCAGAGAGAGGAGGGGATGGGAGAAAAGAGAGAACAGAGTAAAAGAGGGTGAATTTAATGAAAAAGTTCATAGAGCCTCAAATGTGGGCACAGAAGCTGACCCAGAAGTAACTATGAGATTTCAAAGCATGATGTTGCCAAGGTCTTTTATAATGCCCCTAGAGTTGAATAAAAAGTGCACAGAATGATAGCTCAGTTACCATAAGTATTTCAAGAACTGTTCTTCAAGTTGTCACCATGGAAGGAGACATGGCATAGAATCTACCACCTTCACTTTGTCCTGGTCAAAGCGGACTGCTGATCATGCTTCCAAAAGATGTGAGTTAGCAATGAATTTGCTGATGATAAGTCAAGGCTCTGAAAGGCCTAAGTACTTTAAAATGATGGGTCAAAACTAACAAGATGAAATGTAATAGAGATAGATGTAAAGCCCTATATTTTGAGCCTAAAAGAATTTCATTCACACAAACACAAGAGAGGAGACATTGGCATCAGCAGGAACACATGAAAAAGCCCAAGTCTTTCGAACAGTGGGCATAGTGAGTCATCAGTGGGAGATAACATGACTAGAGCTAACCTGACTCTGGGCTGCCCACATATAGACACAGTGTCCAGAAGCAGAAGGAGATAATTTTGTCCTACTGCTCTAAGCTCATCCAGGATAGCATATTGAAAAGCAGGCTCCGTATTTCAAAACAACATTGATAAAGTGGAGCAAATCCAGATTAGAAAAGTTTTCATAGTATAGTAAATGATAAGCCAAGCTTCAAGAGTAATACTTGAAGGAAGTGGGAGCGATAGATCTGGAGAAGAGAAAGCCCAAAGAGATATGGCCTCTCTTCCTCAGGCCTCCTAAGACCTGTCATGGAACAAAGCAAAGGGACACAATTGTTATGGCTCCAGAAGGCAAAGTTAAGGATTATGGATGGAATCTACCAGGAGATAAAGAGTTCAGCTATGCAAATAAAATCACCTTTGGTCAGGGGATTGCTGTATAGAGTTAGAAGTGGTAACTACCTTGGTAGTGAGATTGTGGATTCAAGAACATGCAGAGGATGCCACCCATGTCTCATGCACCACAGTTCTGGATGTTCTATTTCTTTCTCACTTTGACAGGGCACTACACCAAGAAAATGTCTCAGTGAACCTATTTGTAGTGAACAAGCCCTGGCTCTTCTCTCTGCTCTGGTGTGCAGGGGTCGATTCAGTCACCACCAATGATTGCCAGCTGCTGCAGCAGATGCATTACCCCATCTGGCTTATTGTAAGGGTTCTGGAACTATTGCCATTCCTTTTCTCCTTTCATCTCTGATTCTCCTTAACCCTGTCCATTTCATTGTTATTTTCCCCTGTATACTACATTTGGGAGTCTGGCCACTGAGATGGCTTTTTTCCTATTCCCACAGGCTCCTCACACCTACTTAAAGATGTGGATCATTACTAATTGTGTTTCCATTCTGCTGCTTTTGTGCACCTTCTTCTTTCAAAGGTAAATATTTTGTGCCTTAGTTCTCTAGCTCCTTACTTTCTCCAGTCCCCTACTGATGAGGATGATTCAGATTCACATGTGCTGCCTGGGACTGTCTAGTTCCTTGAAAGCCTTAGTTCCTTCTGTATATCACCAAATTGGCTTGACTCCAGGAAAAGCAGTTTGGGGGATCCCAGGGTTGGAAGGTCCTGTTTGAAGTTGGCTGAACTGACAAAGGAAAGCTTTTTTTTCCCTATAGGAGATGTGCTAAGAAGAGAGAGAGAATTGGTAAGAATCCGCCCCCCATCACCTCACTTTCTCCTCCTAGCTTTCCCTTTGTTCATTCCACATGTAACATACCCTCTGCTCACCTCCCCAGGGTTAGAAACAGCAGTGCTGCTGACCAGGATCAACAATTTCATGACAGAGTGAACATCCTACCCTGCCCTTCCCCTTTCTGGAGTCTAAGGACTGTCTTCACTGGTTACCTGCAAAATGAAATGTCTTGGAGTAGTGAGTTTTGGTGGGGGGCAACTTTACCAACAGGATGTTTAAAACAAGGAGACTTTCTGTCGAGATGATGAGCAGGCCTCAAGGAGCCAGGAAATCTGCTTCCTTGGAGTTTAGACATGGGATGGGTAGGAAGTCAGTGAGTCATGAGAAGTTTCTCATAAAATGAAACTAGAATGAGGAAGTAAAGGGACAATTACTAAGATAATGTCTCAGATTTGTGTACACGAATTCTTGCATAGAAGGCACAGGGTGTCAGGGGTGGAACAGCCTGGAATACTGACAGATAAAATGACCTTTTCTGGAGAATTAACAGATGATGGAGATATAGTCCCCATTCTATGCACTGTTTTTGCATCTTTGCAATTCAGCAAGGCATAGGAGATAAAGAGCCTATCTAGTCCCATAATTTTGGGTTTAAAGGTGACTTTCTGCTGTACACTTCCTTTTCTATAAGATTGGATGGTTTCTGTATCTTGTCTGTTAATCTGTTACTCAATGAATTTAACTTCTATGTGATCACAGTCTAATCTTTTCGGTGCTAGGGCTGGGAGGAGACACTTTCCATCTAGGGTTGGAAGTAATATGACACTGAAGGGTCACGATGGTGAAACTCAGTGGGGAGATTCGTGGGATGGAGGTGGGAAGAGAACCACCTGCTGCAATAAGACTGCCAAAGGAAAGGTGAAGCATAGCCGCCTGGGGCCCTACGTGGAGGCCCAGGCACCCAGCGGAGGGTTGCATTGTAGCTCCACCTTGTGGTCACCCGCCTCAACAGGAGGGCCGCATCTGTGGTCACCATGCCGAATTTTCTGAAAGTCACCTGTTTTCAGGGCCTGTTGGGGACTTCTGTCCTTGACTTCGGACTCCTGGGCACAAGTTTTCGTTTCTCGGGGCTGCGCTCAGGGTCTGGTTTCTGGCCTAGCCTTCCCCTCCAGGAGCAAGTGTCCCAGCATATTTGCTGTTAAGTAGTTGAGTTGTGGAGCTGGCGTAGGATGAGGAAGTGTAAAAAGGGGCAAAGGGAGCTCAGGCAAAAACGAGGGCAGGAGAGGGATTTGTGGCTGACCCTATAGTCCTCCATTATACTGACATTTCCTCTAGTTAGTGCCTCCACACAAAGTCCAGTCGAATTACGAGGTTGATCAGCCAAGAGACTCAATTCATGATTCCTCTTCCCTTGCCAAACTGGGACCTGGGACAGGCAGCACTGCCACCTCCGGAGGATTTTAATCCTGGGTTGTAGGAAAGTCGCGAGAACTACAATTCCCAGTATACCTCTGGGCATTTCCGGTCCCCTTTCGCTCTCCAACCCGCCCCCTCCTTGCACACACATGCACATACACACTCAGGCAGCCATATACAGCAGCATACTTGTCCTGCAGTTGGTGCGAGCGTCAAGGCACGCGAAGAAGCTGGAGGCTCACTGGGAGCCGGTAACGCGGCTGCTGCCCGGGTTCAGGTCTTCTTGGGATCCACGCCGCCTGCCACCAGTCAGGTCTCCTTCACACATTGCCTTTCAAGCTGTATTTCCTTACTTTTCGCAGTTTCTGATCCCGCCCCTCAGTCAGGCTGACTACCTACCTCAGCTCTGGAGCCCCAGCCTGTCAGGTACTGCCTCGTAGCTTGTACCATCACCCTCATCTCTTCTCTGTCCCCCGACCCTCCCCCAGGCTAGCAGCATTGCTGCTGCTTCATCCCTCCTCTTCCCTTCTAACCACAACCCTGTCGACCTCCGGCTTCTCCACCCTTACAGTCCAACCTCCCAGCTCCCATGCTCTCAGCTGCAGTCCTCTAATCTTAGCTTCCAGACTCCCCACCAGAATGCTAGCATCCAGCCCCATCCCTTGCTTCTAGCCCCTAGCATTGGGAACTCAGCCCTAGACTGTCATCACAAATCTTTACTTTTCCCAGGAAGACTGGATAACTATATCACACTTAACCTATGTGAGGCCTTGGGGGAGGAGGGCCAGGGGAAGCTGCTTATTGGGGTTCACTGCAATTATTATTTTTAGCTGCTGACTCACAGCTCTTGGCATCCTGGTTTGGGGCTAGCAGGCTGGGCCAGGGTGATATTAATAGAGCGGAGGCACAGCCCCGACCCAGTTCAATTTGGAAAAATGAGGAATAAGGATTCTTACCCATGCCATCCTACTTTTGCGGAGATGCTGTGGACTGAGGCAGTGGCTGGGCCACATGTCTGGCTGCCAGTTACCTCAGACTGGTATTGATACCTTAGAACTGTTTTTTTTTTTTTTTTTTTGAAACTGAGTCTCGCTATGCAATTCAGGCTGGCCTTGAAATTGCTTATGTAGCCCAGACTGTCCTTGAATGCACAGGAATCTTTCTGCTTCGGCCTTCCAAATATTGGGATTACAGGCGCATACCACCATGCCCAGGTACCTTGGAACTCTTGAGGGAAAAGCCACAAGGCTATTCCTGGGCACGGCTCCCTCATGAACTTGCCATGGCTTGGGCCTCTGCCACAATGAAGCTTCTGTTGTACTTGCTGTGGGGGCAGAGACAAGTCTTGATGGAGAAGTTATTGTGGTCATGTCCTTGGCCTGCTGGGCTATATCTAGGCCAGAATGCTAGGTTGCTGGAAGGAAGAACTGTGGATTTCTGCTCCCCAAAGTCCCTCATAAAGAAATGTTGCTTTAGTGTGAGCCTAGCAAACTGGGGACAGAGCCATGATCCCCAAACTAGAGAGAAAACTAGGAAGCTGCTGAATTCTGTTTACTACCTTCCCATTTTTTGTTTCTTTTTGAGCTCTGCTTCTACTCTTAGGGGTCCATAGACCTATGATCTCTTCTCCATAGAGAAACCTAATTCAGGAAAGCCACTAAGAAACCCCACTGAGAAGCCCCAGTGAAGTATGGATAATCATTTATATAGTCATTCCTGGTTTTTTTCATTTTAATGGGCTAAAGTAAGAATTTCCTAAATGCATACATACATTGGGAATGGTAGGGGAAAATCTTGATATCTTACTGATCACCAAAATCATTCCTACCCTCTTCCAATTTGTTAGAATTCCCCTTGACTACAACATTCACAGCCACAGCAGTGACCATCATCTAACCCTTGTGAACCAAAAAGTTTTGCCTAGGGCCAGGGATGTAGCTGAGTGGCATAAGCGCCTGCCTGGCAAGCTCAAGGCACAAGGTTTTGAGTTCAATTTCCCGGTACCAAAAAAAATTTTTTTCTTGCCTTAAACGATCAGGGTCTTAAGCCCAAATGAAACCACATTTGGGTGGAGGGTGTTCCTTTGTTCACACACAAAGACTGAAGTCATTTGACCAAGCTCTATTCTTAAGAATGAGCTCAGATTATGAGACAGCAGACAGCAGCGCCGCCCCAGCCCTGTCTATTTGCCGAAAGGTGGGAGAGGTGGTGGAAGAAGAGAGAAAAGGTTTCTCTTCTTGACAATCCTTTTCCAGAACACATCCTTAGCCTCAGTCGCAGCACAGGCCACTCGGTCGCCTAGCGACCAGAGCCGCCTGCGGGGGCTGCTTTCTGCCGGTAGGGGGCGTCTGTGTCCCCAGGCCCCGGGGCTAGTACCCTGGCAGTTGGGAAGCAGTTTCCTTAAGTGTCAAAGTATTTCATTGTAGGTGACCTTCTCCAGACTTGTCAGCCTGGTATATTCTGAATGTCACAGAGCCTGTGGCATGAGAGAAGTTCACTATGAATCTGAAAAGATTTTACACAGATTCATTAAAAATGAAAAGAGGGAAGGAGAAAGGAAAGATCGAAGGAGTCAAAGGGGATGGCTGGATGAACTTGTAAGGACAATTTGGCCTTCTCCATTCACTCTAGTCTTGGCAATGTTTATTCTTAAATCAGAGTAGTTCAGAAGGCCCAGAAAATAGGGGGATTTTTTCCTAAGCTCTTCTTAAGATGTAGAAAGGAGTCCTGCAAGCTGCTGAGTATGTAAAAGACTGCTGAAATGCAAAGTCTGGTTACCAATCTAGCCTAAATTTGTTTGTTAAAGAAGGTATTTTTTGTTCAATAATAAGTTACAGTGTATCATGTAGTGTGTTGTGTTCTACATTTAATCATCACAAAAATGCTATGCTTACTTCCATTTCACAGATAAAGAAATTGAGTCTCAGAGAAGTTAAGTAATGTTCAAGGTCACACAATTGGTGACTGAGTTTGGATTGAATTGAGCAATTACTGTATGCTAGGATCTAAGATTGCAAAAATCATGACATATCTGTCTTACCTAATGACAACTAGTCTCTTTCTAGGACTGAACTAAAGATGACATCTCCTCTGTGAATCTTCTTTTAAGTCCTTCCATACCTGAAAAATGTTGAAAATTTGCTTTTCTGTACACCTCTCTAAAACAGCCCTATTGGAATGATCTGCTTCCATATTTCCATTTCTCAAGCTTTGAGAACTTTGGCAACAGGGTTCATAAATTCATCTGCCCTTGAATGTCTAATAAACATCTCTAATTCAACAGGTCAAATTCTGAACAACTGACATTTTCCCCTACAATGATCCTTCCTTAAATCAACTATATCCCTGTCAATAGCAATTTTCCTTTCCCAGTTGCTCTGGCAAAAATTTCTTGGGATTATAGCTGTATCCAGTCTATCAGCAAATCCTGTGAGCTATACTTTCAAAATATACCCAGAATCCTGCCACTTCTTATTACCTCCAATCCTACCACTTTAGTCCAACCCACAATCCCAATTCAGCTTGATTATTCCTGAATAGTCTTGCTGTTTTACCCTTGTCCCCTATGGCCTGTCTTCTACAAAGGAACCAGGTCAGTCTTGCTAAAACCAAGTCATATCATGTTAGTTTTCTTTGTAAAGTCCTCTGATGGCTCCTTAACTCTCTAAAAATAAGGCTACAATACATAAAATGGTCTACAAGGCCCTATGCAGTCTGATTCTCTATTAAATTTGTAATCTCATCTTTTGGTACTCTTTAATTTCCTCACCCTGTTTCAGCCACTTGGTTCTTCTTTCTGTTCCTTGAACAAGCCACATAAACTCTTACCTAGGACCTTTGCACTGCCTATTCCCTTTGCTAGGTTTATTTTACTGAGTGACTCAGTTTATCACTTCCCAGAAGTCTTTGTTTAAATGCCAACTTTTCATTGAGATCTACCCTGCCCAACCTATTTAAAATTCCTTCTAATTTCCAGGTTACAATAAATACTGAGTGTGGATGACTAAGAGAAATGATATCATGAGGGAAAAACAAAACAAATCCAGAATGTAGGATATTCTATAGTACAACTGATTGATACTCTTCAAAAACTTAACATAATTAATTTTTTAAAAAAAGATGTGACACTTTCAGTTCTGGACCCCACCAGAACAGACATACTTCTTATTCTTTGCAGTAAGTGTAGTAAAACCTTGAACATTGTATATAAAACCAACATAAGAAGGAGAAAAGGGCAGACTGACTTGGAATCTCAGTGATTTGAACTCATGCTGGTAAGTTCTCTGCATTTTATTGTTGTATTGTATATCTCAGACTAGGTGCTGGGATAAAAATTA